GACTCAATATTTTACTATGTATTATTAGTTATAGACTGTGCAACTAGGTATAAAGATTTTGTTTTTTTAACATCAAAGAGTAGTGAAGAAGTTGCAGAAGCATTTAAGAGTATATATGATAACCCCGACAACCCTCTTAACTGGCCTCGGCTATTGCAATCTGATCAAGGTCGTGAGTTTATAGGAAATGTGACATTAATAATGGATGAACATAATGTTAATATCCGAAGAATTAAAGCACATTTTAGACATACAAGCATGGCTATGGTTGATCGTTATGCCGGATTATTCAAATTAAGAGTTTTTAAAAACCAGTATGCGATAGAGTTTCTCTTACCTACCGGTAAACTCTGTAGAGAATGTGAACGGTTTGCACGAAAGATTGTTGACAATATGAATGATACTCCAACTCGACTAATTGGAATGAGTCCTAATAATGCCATGAAACTTGAGCAGATATATTCTAAGCCATCAGTAAAATATAATCGTCCAATAGGTGTTAATGAACCACAACTACCAAAGGGTACTATTGTGTAATTCTTACTTGCTAAAGAAGAATGGGAAAATGATCCCTTTGAACGATGCAGAATAACAGATCCCGTATGGTCTCCTTCCTTATATAAAATTCGAAAAATTGTTGTTGGAAGAAATCCACCAATGCCTGTCTTATACTATTTAGATGAATTGGGACCTCAGCGTCCCTTTGTAAGAGAACAATTAATGCATATTAAGGAAGAGCCTATGTTATCCCTTAGGTGGGTACTGGGAGATAACCGAATGCGTACAAGGCGCTTTTTATAAAAGTTTCTAAGTCAACTACGCAATAGGGTATTGTAATAAGGATTACTCCTTCTCTATAACACAATGCTCTTTTTTTCCAATCATGCCAAATTTGTACATCTAGATTCATTTGTCCTTGCGGATGAAAAAAAGGCACAATTTGGTAATGTTGATTACTACTATATTCGAAGACCAAACCTAGCTCTTCATTATATCCATCTAGATGTAACCCTTCTAAAAATTTAGGTTTTCTGAGTGGAAATTTTTTATTTAATAAATCTTTAAAAATATATCGGCATGTTCTTTCCGGTACATTGGGGCAAATATTGCACCACCTATAATTTTGCTTCATATTTTTATACGATGCTTCCCATTGATGATCCTTTTTACATGACCATAAATATATATTAGGATTAACTTTGGCCAAACATCTCCCTTCCCGCCTCTGGGCATATGCTAAGGCTTTAGCATCAATTTCGTTATAATTTTGCATTTTATTTTCTAATCTTTTTTTTCGAATATAAATAAGAAAAAAAAAGGTACTGTCTCGCGTCGATGTCCCAAACGAGGCGAAGGGGCAAATTCCCATCAATGCACTCGTGAGTATCGGGAATCCCATAAATTTCAGATGGGTGATCAACTATAGTGAAACCCTTCCCTGCCACCCGAATAATATATTTATCAAAAATTTTCTCAGAATGATAGGC